TGCTCACATTGCCCTTCCTGGGGAGAGGCAGCACAGCCATTTCAGGAGTGTCAGACAACAGCAGGAGCTGTAGATAACGTTAACAGCCAAGGAAAGATTCTCACCTCAAATAACGACACACAATGGGAATGACAGCTCCGTTGGTTCTCACAATGACAGATCCAGGATAGTTTGGGATGTGGGTCAGGTGGGTGGTGTAGATCAGGAAATCTCCAGTCATCTGAAAGACACCAGGTTAAGGAATGGGGAACTGATTTGAAATGAAGGTTCTACGCAACATTCATAAGGACATCATCCCATTTCCACAATTCCTTAGGGAGCTTGACAGGCTCAATGCCAAGTTCCTGTTTGCTCACAGAGCCTGAGAGATCAGTTTTAGGGGCAATAGGTCACAGCTCAGGCGTTAGTCATTTTATACCAAGGGAACAAGGTACTGCATCATTCTACAGGTCAGCAATGGTCAGACAGGGAATTCATTTAGAGTGGAAATGTGCATTTGTAGAAACAAAGGGATGTGTTTTTCAGGAAAAAAAAAATCACTAAGGGAATAGGAACATGGTCCTGAGTCTCTCAGAATGAGACACCACAGGCACATTTCGGTTTCCTCAGTCATCAGCAAACCTCCAATATTTGAGCATATTGTGAGTACACGACCAAATTAATCAGCAAAGTGACTCCATAAGATCAGTTTCAGTAAACAGAACAAGAGGTAATCTAATAATAGAGAAACAGAACACTTATCCCAGGAGCCCAGTTATTACAATGACAAGGAAAGTGGGAAGTTTGGAGCCCCTCAAGACCAAGGCACCTCAATATTAACCTCATTTTGTTTAGAAGTGCCATCCCCATGGGATGGGGATGGGGGATGGCAAAGGAGCTGACTGTGGAGAAACAAGCCTCAGACATTGAAAGCTAATCAAGTTCAGGCAAACCAGAAATAATCTCCAGACCATGGGGACAACAGGAGAGGTTTGGGACCAGCAAGACCACTTAAGCCACAGTCTAATCCAGAAGAGACAGATTCTAAGTTTGATTGCAGGAAAAAGTACACCCCAATATCAACAGCATTGGAGCCAGGGTTACAGGAAGGAACAGGGTACAGCCCAAACTCCCACCAACTATGGAGGACTCCCATTACCTGCAATCTGCTACCACACTCATGCAGGCCATAGTCAAAGAGGATAGTGTGGTTCTCAGGGTAGATCCTGGTTGGGCGACAACCTGCTGTCCCCAGGGTCAGGTCAGCAGCTTTAATCAGGTGCCTGGTTCCAAATAAATCCAACTGTGCCCTGACCAGCAGGTTGTGCTCTCCACACTGTACCATCACAGTCTGCAGTGGAGACACATTCCCACCCTCAGACATTCTGAAACTGGAACCAATGGGACCCCCATGAGGAGGGACTCTCTCAGGCACAGGGGTGGCTCTCACTATTCTCCATGGAAACCTCTGGCTCAGTAGCTGTTGCCAAGTTTCAGAGCAACAACCAGCTCCAACTAACACCAGCACAGGAAACAAACCCCTCACTACAAAATCCCCCATGATCCCAAACAACTCAACCATCCCATCCAGCCCCCACCCAGCTCCTTTTATGCACACAACCTGTACTCACCTGATACCGATCAGACCAGAAGCAGCAACATTGAACCAATGAACCAGCCCCAATCTCTACAATTTCCACCAATGTCTAAATCCATTGGCTTCTTACCAGGACGGCCTATTTCATTTGGACCAATAGGAATGACTGGGAGTTGCTGCGCTGTCACGTGACTGCATTCGGCTCCACAAGCTCTCATGGTGATGGCCCCCTGAGTACAATAGAGTCATAGAGTCTTCTGGCACAGAGACAGGCCTTTTGGCCCAGATTGGTGCACGCTGACCAAAATGTCTATCCATGCTAATCTCATTTCCTTGCACCAGTCCCCTATCCTTCGAAACCTTTCCTATCCATGTATTTGTCCCAATGCCTATTAAATGTTGTTTATGTACCCACCTCAAGCACTTCTGCTGCCAACTTACGCCATGTGCGTACCACTCTCAGGGTGAACAGGTTCCCCTCAGGTTCCCATGTATTGACATGACTGTCATGAGCTTATACACTTCGAGGAGATCCCCTCTCAGTCTCCTATGCTCTAAAGAAATTAGTCCAAGCTTGTCTAACCTCTACCTCTAACTCAGGCCAACATTTTCACCTTTTACAATTTAATAGGATTGTTCCTCGAGCAAGGTGACCAAAACTGAACACAATACTCCAAGTGGAGATACAGAGCCTGTTTTGTAGAGCATCTGCGCTCTACTTGCGACAAACACCTTCCCACAAACTGGAGGAGCAGCACCTCATGTTCTGCCTCAAGACCCTACAGCGCGATGGTCTAAACATGGATTTTACCATTTTTAAAATCTCCCCACCCCCGGCCTCATCTCGTGACCAACCCTCCCTCTCATCCCCGCCTCCTTGACCTGATACAACCTCTCCATCTTCTCTCCCACTTATCTGCGCCTCGCACCTCACTGACTAATCCCCATCACCCTCTACCTGCACTCGCCTGTTCCCGTCCCACCTCTATCCCCCAGCCGCACCCCTCCTCTCTCTACTAATTTCTGAACTCCCTTCCCCCTCACCCATTTCTGAGAAGGGTCCCGACCTGAAATGTCAACTTTCCTGCTCCTCTGATGCTGCCTGGCCTGCT